TAATAATAATATAATTAAAATTGTTCACGTAGCACGCATGCAAGCAGCTCGTGGGTGATGATTCAATAGCGTGACGTGAATTGCACGTTCCCCGAGTGATTTGCAACTTATAATGGTGCAGATAGCAGTTAGACACGGTTCAAATGGCAATAAAACAATAAAATTTAATTATAAATAGATGTATAATGTTATGAACTTAGAGCTATTTAGGATAAACGAATATAGTTTCATGTTTGAAGTCATACTAGAAAGAAAAGAAGGTTGATTTAAGTTTATCTCAATTTTTTTGGGTGGTTATGAGGTCGGTCAAATTGACCGATCCCATTTTGAGATTAGGGTAGAGAAAACAAACTATAAGGATTTAGTAAAAAAAAAAACGTTTGAAATGCATTTAATAGGTTTTAAGGATTACACAAAGAAAATTTGAGATTTTTGAGATGGCAAAAAGTATTTTTAATTTTAACATGAAAATTACTTTGCACATTGACTATTCAAAACAAATACTCAATATATTCATGGACAAAACTTTATTTTATTAAAAGTATGACTCTTAAAAAATATGACTTTTTGTATGTGAATGTTTTGTAATATTAACTGAAGGACTGCCAAATTTCGTGAAGATATACCCAATATATAAAGAGTTATAAATATTAAATTTATGTCAACTTTAAACGATTACAGAAGGTCACGTGACTTGGCCTCAAAGACTGAGCCCATGTCGAAAGAGTTAATTGTCTTTCTTTTGTTAGAAAAATTGGTTTGTTAACCATGCCAGAACATGTGAGGGTGATCCTGTTATGACACTGTCATGACACATCAGTGGCACAAGACTTAGTAACATCATGGCAATACCCGACTTTTATATCACTCATAGCATCAAAGTGAGATGATGGAAGGAGATTCAAACCAGTATTCAATCTTGTTTTGAACAGCTGGCACATCAACCACTGTTCTAGATCTCTCAAAACATAAAATCATTTGAGGAAATAATGTGAGAGAATGTTCAGTTAGTTTATACACAAACAGTTTATAAGTTGAAATTAGGGTGAAAATGTGAAATTTTGTTTGCTTCAGTAGCACAAGTGAAAGATTTATCTCAGTCCTTAAAATACTGACATACACTGAAGTTAATCCAGATATTTCAAACACCACACAAGCTAAAAGGTCATTTTTGTAACAAATCCTATATTAATAATGGTTATAACAGAAAGATATATGGTGCATCTGGATTTTAAACAAGGCTTGTTTAAATGTTATCTCTGTAGGTGTGGGGATAAGTTGGCTCATTAGATAGAAAACTGGCTAGATGGAAGAAAGAAGAGGGTTGTTATAAATAGAATTCAGTCAGACATTAGGACATTTGTTCTTTTTTTATTTACATCAATGACATAGATGAAAGAATGGTCAATAGGTTACTTATCTACATTAGCTGATGATATTAAGGTTTTGTGTGTTGCTGGCTGTGAGGATGATGCTTTACAAAAGGATTTAGACTATTTGGTGAGTTGAGTGAATATATGACAGAAGGCTTTTAATTATAACAAATGCAAGGTATGTGGGATATCAATTTAAATTTTAAGTATAAATATTGATGGGAATAACCTCAACAATGTTATGGAACAAAAGAATCTTAGTGTTCTGGTTTCAGTTTCTTTAGCAGTTTACTACTGCTAGTGGCACAAAAAAAATAGAATGTTAGGTGCTGTTTGCTTTCAGAACAAAGCCAAATTAGACTCTGCTGTGTCTACTGTGGAGAATCTAACCCTGGATTTGAGCATTTTAAATCTGTAAACTTACCATCGTCCCACTGAGGGATGGATTTTAGGTTGTATATACAGAAATACTGAATACAAGTCTAAAAAGATTATAATTTCATTTTATAGGCCATTGGTTAGACCACATTTGGAGTATTGTGTTCAGTCTTGGGCTCTTTGCCTCAAAAAGAGAGCTACTAGGATGACACCCAAGATAGAAAAATTGTCATATGTGGACAGGTTAAGAACTCTGAAATTGTTTTCTCTTGAAAAAAGAAGAGTTAAAAAGATCTGATTGAGGTTTAAAATTAAGGGAATTGACAGAGTTTATACATCATATTTTCATACTTATCGGTGAGAAATGTAAGACTAGGAGACACAAACACTGGTTGGGTAGGAGACGTCTTTAGTTAAGAAAGTTTTATTTTTCTAACAAGGTGGTTGGTCTCTGGAATGGGTTGCCTGCAGATGCAGTTAAGTTAAAGGAATTTAATGGAAGACTTGACAAATATTTGAATGATAAAAGCTAACTTCGGATGTTTCATTTTAAAGGTTAGTTTAATGGTTGGAATGGTGAAGATATACCAACAGGTTCCATGTTGTCCTTAAATTATATGTACAGGTATAACAAAACAAATAAAGAGAAATGGTTACTCATGTTTTTCTTGCCCTCATCTTCTTCCTCTTCCATTTCTTCAACATCTTCTACATTCTCCACAGTTTCAAGAGCTCTGCCAAAATAATGCATTCATTCAAGTACTGGCCAGACTTCATACAATACAACCATATAACTTTTACCTGATCCCACTCTTTCTCCATTCTAAAAATTAAGGACTTTTACAAGGACTTAAAATGTATCCACATTAACTGATAAGACACACAGCAAAGAACCCACCCATTCAATGCTAAATGTTCAACTATTAATCATAGATCACAAGAACTAATGACTCATTGATGATGCTGTAAACTGGTTCAAGGTACCCATAACTATATAAACCAATCAGATACTCAACTGTACCTTTTTCTTCATTTTGTTGGTGTGTATATGAATATTAAACAAAGACACAGAACGATAATCAAAGTGTTTCAAAATAGTGTCAAACTGTTATGACACATACACAAAGTTTAGAAGCTGAATCTTATTGATAAAACTGTTCAATTACTAGACCAATTTCTTATTCGTTTACAGAAAAATGGAATTGTCCTTAACTTTGGGATTTAGTCAAGTAAATGTAATTTTGTTTGATGATGTTAATAAATGGGGATTATACTAACATTGTACATACTTTTATTTTCAGTTTTAACAACAAACATTTATTCCAGACTTACTTCTGCAACTACATAGCAATATAAATTATATCCATAACTTACATGGATATAACAATATCCAAAATTTTAGAAAAATTCACAAAAGCCTCAATAGAATAAGAAGATTTCAAAAAAACTAAACTAAATTTAATGTATCAAAAACAAAGTACTTCATATTTTATTTAAAACTCCGCATTTATATAAGCTACTTTGTACGTATAAACAGATTTTTAGTGAGTAAGGTTATTTTAGTGTCTGTAAAGCATATTTTAAAAATTTTCCTTCAAAGCTTTGTTTACTGACCACATTCACATTTCACTACTACAATTAGAAGTGACTCTTAATTATTTTGAATGTCATAAAATATTAACTAACATCATACAAGTTGCTCTGTCTGGAGGTGAAAAATGTAGTTTTTGACCTTACAGTATTTACTTTTTCAATTAAAATTTCTTTTAATGTAAATTCAAATGAATAACTAAAAGTTTCACTAAAAGAAAACTTTTTCAAACATGTAGGATAAATTGTTTTACACTATTTATAACCTGTTATTTCAGGCATCTTTTGTTAATCAATGGTCTTCACGGATGATAATGCTTTGAAAATATCTTAATCACTTTGTTAATGAATAATGACTTACAAATACAAAATAAGTTTTGTGTAAATTAATAATCAACTTGTAAATTTAACTGTTAGTAGCATGGTAGTTAAATTAAAAACACAATTATATTTCTTATCAACTATAATTTACAAGTTGCTACGTGAGTACATGACACTGACACCATTACTCTCAAGTCAAACGCCATTACGTTAAGCATATCTATGGTTATACTTTTATAGTACTATTAGTATTATAATACTATTGTTAATAGTACTGCAATACTGAGCTTACTACTGTGCGTTACATTACACTTCAATTCATCTATTTCCTCATAATAGTGCTAATATTATACAGATTTGCCAATACTAAAGTTACTGCTAGAACTAGAAATTCACAATACAACTGTAAAACTAAAAGACAAATTTAAAAATCGTAGAAATAAAAAACATAAAACTCACTTTTCTGGATCAGCCATTTCCGAACCACTTATTTGGTTCTGAAAAATACAAATAATTCAGTAATAATTTTCGAAATGTATTTGCAGAATTTAAACAAAAATTAGTATGAGTATGAATGTCGAATTTCTACTAGAAACAAACTTAGCTGAGACTGAGACAAACACGCAGAAGAGATACTTAAGCCTACTGTACTAAGCCTCACAAGGCTTAAATTAAAAGCGTAGTAAGTGCAATGAGTTTCTTTATGTTTCGGTAAACCTTGACCATATTTTTTGTTTTAAACAAGAAGTACGTCTTGTGATAAAAACGAAAAAACTATTGGCTATAAATCACATAAGTTTTAATATTCACTTATATTTTATTAATTAAAAACAACAACAAAGAACTAACAGAAATATAATTACTTACCTGACTATAACGAAACGTGACCACTAATAAATCCTAACTACAAACCTCCCTGAATATCAGACTTTAGATACAACCAAGGAATGCCGAAACTTTTCCACCACCATGAGGCGTTATGGCGGGAAGTTGGTTTTGCGTGGTTGGCTTAGAGACAGAAAAAACAGTCCTAGCCAATCAGAAACAGCTGCATCATTTTGTTGAGAAAATGAAACGAAATATAATAAAATAATAAATATTATGAATTAAAAGTCAGAATGAATAACACTAATAGCAAAGTAACTTTTTTCTGAATAATGCACTTTTAACTTCTACCATAAACTCCACAAAGTTCTTTTAACGTTGAGATAGGATTACAAAGTGATATCCCCCATATTTTTTATTATATAATTTAATTTTTGTAAGACGCACTGTACGAAATGATCAGTTTGTGTTGTAACAAGAGTACATAAAAGTTTAACAACATTACATTTGCCAAAATATATTTTTATTTTTATTCTGCAATAATTTGTAGTTCAAGTACGAGTTGGAGAATGAGTAAAGGATGACTCATTTGACCAAACCCACGTTGTTACAACTCGATACTTCAACAGATGTTGACTCGTATAATACGTTTTTACATAGGTTGTTAAGTTAAAGATGATATTCTTTTTCTAAAAGATAATCCAATATTCTTTGAAATATACTAATTTTTTTATAATAATTACTAAATTCTGTAGTCTGTTAACTATATGTACGTTTTCATTATAGGGTTAAATCTTCAATTGGAAATATATAATTAAGTGCCATCTGTTGTACGTTTTGATATTTTGCCACAACTCTGGACAATTTTATCAATTGTTGAATTTCTCTCTACTTTTTTTTATCACGCAATAAAATCAACTAAAAGATTTAGTCAAACAATATAAATATATGTACATACCCAAATTCGATTACTGTTTCATTATAATTTCAAAGAAAAAAATATTGTTACGTATCTGCTTGTTTGTTAATTTCCGGTAGAGATTCTTTCCGAGGAACTTCAGCGATACAAGTCCTTTTTTGATTAAACCAGTTTACTCTTCCTCGATACAAACTGTTAGTACACAGAAGTTTCACAGTCAATACGTTTCTCGTTATTTTAAACTTAACTACTTTTATAATACACGCCATAAATCACAGCGATTCACAATCTCGATAACAAAACCCACACTAGCTCGAAACACAATCGTAAATTACCTGGAACTCTCTTCATTCAATTACGCAGATTTTCTCTGCCAGGCTTATATACCAACGAAGGGGCGCCTCGAATACACTCGGGCCTCTCCGATCATTCATGATCATTCAAGAAATTCATCACGTGTTACCAGCGTCACGTGACTTCCACTGTCATAACACTGCCTCTTCCTTAGTATTGTTCATCCCGAACAATAGCCACTTACATTAAACCAATAGATAATTAACAATAACTTAATTAAATATACAAA